GGATCCTCCCGAAACGGGGCACGAACCCGCGTCTCCTGCATCGGCAGGCGGACTCTCAAGCACTGCGCCACCAGGGAAGCCCCGACAGTACAATTTTTTCATTGTAGAAAAGTTAGAAAACACTGCAAAGCACTTAGGGAAACTTTTTTTTTTTAATATTCAAAAATCTCATCATTTAGAAATAACCACTCTTAAAATGTTAGTATATAGCCATCTAGCATTTTCCCCAGGTAAAAATATATATATGTATATTTACAAAGAGAGCCTAGTCTACATAACTGTTTTTAATCTCTTCTATTATACTTAACAGTATATTATGAGTAACTCTCAGTGTTATTCATTATAGATCAACATCATCAGTTTTAATGACTGTAGGGTTTTCCATTGTATGGATGTATCATAATTTATTCAACTGGTTCCATTTATCTACAACAGTGTGTTAAACCTCCTAGCACATACATCTTTGCTCATTTGTCCACCAGTTTCCCAAGGATGAGCTACGTTCCTGTGGTTTTCTAACTCCCCAGGGACCAGCAGAAAACCATTGCTCTGCTGCTGTCCCATCAGCAATATGATGCCGTTCAGGTCTTGTCTCGACCCTGAAGCTGCTTGAAATTCCTTTTCAAATGAACACTGCAGACTCTGAAGGTCCTTGAAGGTCCCAGCAAGACTGTCCCCAGCAGAGGGGAATACTCCACCCAATGGCCAAGGAAAGCACAAAATACAATACAATCACAGGTGACACTGATGGGCTTTCTATAAAACCTAAGTTACTAGAACTTTCCATTTGTCAAACTGACCTCAAACAAGACCAAAGTGACGCCATTTCTCTGTGGAGAAACCAGTTTCAATCAGGAAAAGAAATGCATTTGACTGAAATAATTATTTAGACTGACAATTGATGTGACAAATGACAATTCTTTAGCTGATTTTTTTTTTTAGGTGATTATTGATTTCTGACTATTAACTCATCTCGGTTGTGCTTCCTAAAGATCCAAACACACATGAGGTTTACACTTTCTAGACAGGCTGAAGACAAATTATAATGCATCACTCTCACATAGCACTTTCTATTTTCAGGGGGTTTTCACCTCAATTTTCTTGCCGTCAACACTGAGCCCTACATTACAGGTGTTAATTCTAAGAGGTGTCATTTATTGAGCACATACTATGTACCAAGCAATACACAGAATGCATTATCAATATTTTTTAGCCCTCACAGCAACTCTAATGAGGTAGACATTCTATTATTACCCCATTTTATAAATGAATGTGGTTTAAGAAAGATGAAATAGCTGGACCACAGTCACACAAGAGCAAAGAGGTGGAGCCATAATTCAAAATCAGTATTCAGATCCCAGAAAGAGTCACAGCCTCACTCAAGTTCACATAGTTGTGGAGTCAAGTCCAAAATCCTGTTCCCTGCCTAGTGATTAAGAACAGGGTCTGGGCTTCCCTGGTGGCGCAGTGGTTGAGAGTCCACCTGCCGATGCAGGGGACATGGATTCGTGCCCCAGTCCGGGAAGATCCCACATGCCGTGGAGCGGCTGGGCCCCGTGAGCCGTGGCCACTGAGCCTGTGCATCCGGAGCCTGTGCTCCGCAACGGGAGAGGCCACAACAGTGAGAGGTCTGCATACCGCAAAAAAAAAAAAAAAAAAAAGAACAGGGTCTCTAGGCTTCCCTGGTGGTGCAGTGGTTAAGAATCCGCCTGCCTATTCAGGGGACACGGATTCAAGCCCTGGTCCGGGAAGATCCCACATGCCGCGGAGCAACTAAGCCCGTGTGCCGCAACTACTGAGCCTCTGGTCTAGAGCCCGCGAGCCACAACTACTGAAGCCCGCGCCAAGAGCCTGTGCTCCACAACAAGAGAAGCCACTGCAATGAGAAGCTGGCTCACCGCAAGGAAGAGTAGCCCCCGTTCACCACAACTGGAGAAAGCCCGCGCGCAGCAACAAAAACCCAACGCAGCCAAAAATAAATTAATAAATAATAAATAAATAAATTTATATATAAAAAAAAGAACAGGTCTCTAAAATCAGATTGTCAGAGTTCAAACCCCATATCTGCCATTTCCCAGCTGTGTCACCTGGGCAACTTCCTAAACCACTCTGTGCCTCAGTCACCTCATCTTAGAAAGGGGAATAATAGTGTCTATCTCAAAGGTTAAACAAGATGACCCACGTCCGGCACTTAGTACATAGGAAGTGCCCTGTATTTAGTTATTAATATGATCCCTTGTGTCCCTCCAGCCTCTAAGCCATACATATTTTATTGATCCGTGACACTGCAGGTGCCGCGAGCAAAGGCCTTGTGCAACTACCGAGGGCAGAATCCCGGTGACCTGAGGTTTAATAAGGGAGATGTCATCCTCCTCCGGAGACAGTTGGATGAGAACTGGTACCAGGGGGAAATCAATGGAATCAGTGGGGTCTTCCCAGCCAGCTCCGTAGAGGTCCTCAAGCAGCTTCCCCAGCCACCCCCACTCTGCCGGGCCCTCTACAACTTCGACCTGCGTGACAAGGACAAGAGTAGGAACCAGGATTGCCTGACCTTCCTCAAGGTAAGATTCTGGGCAGCTACCAAAGTCACCAGTGACCACATAAAGACTGGCAGAACCTCGAGTTTTTGTTTAATATTTGCTGATTGTTTTTAATTGTTTTTAATTATATTTTATCCATAAATGTATAAATGTGTGCCTATATATGTAATGTGTATGTATAATTCAAACATATGGTAGTAAAGTTGCCAGAGTTTGATGGGAATCCTCAAACCTTTTCTACTGCAACTGCAAAACTAAGTATCTGCACACTCATTCATTCATTCTACAATCACTTTTGAGCACCTGTTCTTTGCAGGCACTGGGGAGACAGCATGAACAAGTCACAGCACCTACCCTCAGGCAGCGTAGTGAGAGAAAAAGACACTTGGCCAGAAGATTACAGACACAGTTTAACAGCGTGCTGTGTAGAACTACAGATCTTACCTTTTCATTGTGTATCTGCAGGGGTATTCTCGCTGACCAAGTTCTGATCACCTAGAACTACTCGTTTGCAACACTCTATTTTGTTTGTAAACATTGCATTCAAAACACTCCAAACAACACAATAACATAATTATATCTTTACACATAACTCACCTCTTACAAGATATATTTTCTAAACACATTAGTTACCCTAAGGTTTTTTCCCTCTCTCTTTTTTTTTTTTCGGATGATTCTTCAGCATTTGCAAGTAAGGACAAGTCTACTAAAGTCTAGACTACAACCATCCCTCAGTATCTGAGGGGGATTAGTTCTAGGACACATTGATTCCTGAAGATACAGAAGCTGCGGACGAGGAGGGTCGACTGTACTTTAAGTTATCGTATTCAGTACTTATTATTCCGTAAACATTTGAATTCTCTCTTAGAAACCAAAGTTGGGGTGATTTTCATTCTTTGCTACTTATGGTAAGTAGATCAAATACAAGTACAAGTGGCGCTGCTACAGTAGCTCAGGAAAGGTCTTTTGTTTTGTAAAACATTTTTATTCCATCACTACTGGAAATGAGATTTACTTAAGATTCACTCAAACTAGATAACCCCACTGTCCTCCGTATTTTGAAATACTGATCTTTGTTATTGTCTTAGCACCTCAGAGTGAGTCCCCTAAGGAATGTCATTCTGTAGCTGACCTGTAAATTTTATACTTTGACTACAGCTGGAGAAGGGCAGTTCAATTCCACAAGTGTTTATTGAGTATTTACTTTGTTCCAGGCATTAGACACTAAGCTCTAGGGACACAGCTGGAGGAAGACATAGGCAGGAAGCAGTACCTGCTTTTTTGCCCTTTTCTGGGAATTTGCAAACTGGGACACTTACCCACCTGCTTGTTCATTCATTGAATCCATCCATGTGCCAAGCTGTCCACTGGAGATAAAGTGATGAGTCACTGTCCCTGTCTTCATGGAGCCAGCAGTCTAGTGGAAGGAACAGACACATAAATGGGAAATGAGGACAGAGGACCCAGAAGAGAGGATTTGATCCCTTCTGGAAGCCTGCTGAAGGCCAAGACTACACCAGGATATCTCATGGTCTTCCTAAACTCAGCATGTCCAAAAAAACTCAAGATCTTCTCTCCAGAATCTTTTATTCCTAGTATTTTCTAACTCAGTAAATTTTCCAGTTTATTCACACATGCATTTATTCATTCATGCATGCATGCATTCAAGAAATATTGATTGTTTAAAAACTGTGAATCACTATGTTGTACACCTGAAACTTATATAATATTGTACATCACCTATACCTCAATAAAAAAAATTTTAAAAAGGAATGATTGGTTGACTGCTATAGGGGAGCCACTATATAAGGTCCTAGGGACAAAAATGAACAAAACAGATACAGGCCCTGCACACATGAAGTTTATGGTCTGATGGGGTGGAGAGGCATTAAAGAAATCATAACCTATAAATATGTAATTACAGGTTGTAATAAGGACAGAGAAATCTAAGAAAGGGTATAATGCAGTAATGGATTTAGATTTGGATTCGTCTATGTTACTAAGGGGCATAGATCAGAAGATCAGAGAGATCAGTGGATGAATATTCAGATTTAGATTGATAACAGGCATGGACATGGAAAGGTATTCCTGACGTGATATTAAGTGAAAATTCAATGTATCCTATATGACTTCATTTGTAAGAAATACAAAATAAGCCAAATGAATGTATTTGCTAGGAGTCAGAGTAGTGGTTACCGCTTGCTATGTGACAGGAAAGAGTACTAAAGAGCCATCTTGGTGCTGGAAGTATTTTATATCTCTTACTCTGGGTTGGGGTTTTGTGGATATATTCAATTTAAAAAATTCATCAAGCTTTACATCTAAAATGTTTGTACTTTATTGCATGCCTATGTATATTTTCTGAAAAGTTTTTAAAAATCAGTGTGTCTCTATGCACATATATTTTATCCCCATAGAAAAGAATCTGGGAAAAAATGTGTCAACCAAGATGTTAACAGTGGTTGTATCTATATTGTGATAGAATTCTCTCTTTGTTTTGCTTACCTGTGTTTCCAAATGTTTCTACAAATCTCCATATAACCTTTGGTAATAAGAAACATTCAAATAAAAAGCCACTTTATGTTTGATACATTAAAAATTAAATAGGGGGACTTCCCTGGTGGCGCAGTGGTTAAGAGTCCGCCTGCCATTGCAGGGGACACAGGTCGAGTCCTGGTCCGGGAAGATCCCACATGCAGTGGAGCAACTAAGCCCGTGCGCCACAACTACTGAGCCTGCGCTCTAGAGCCCACGAGCCACAACTACTGAAGCCCACGCACCTAGAGCCCATGCTCTGCAACAAAAGAAGCCACCGCAATGAGAAGCCCTGAGAAGCCTGCGCACTGCAACAAAGAGTAGCTCCCGCTCGCAGCAACTAGAGCAAGCCCACATGCAGCAACAAAGACCCCATGCAGCCAAATAAATAAATTTTATTTAAAAAAATTTTTTTGAACACTGAAAAGTGTTCAAAATCAGAATGCAATTCATTCTTCCTTTTGCTAAGCCAAAATTCTATCTCCCTACCTCTTCCATCTTGGTTTCTCCATCAGATTAATTTAAATGAAAAGCCCAGATTCTGCTGGTGATGGAAAATTAGAGACATTTCCAAGTTTTCCTATTGGATTTCTTTGATGCTCCAAATTATTTCTACTCCTCTTTTGGTCTTGGTGACCCAAATACTGCCCTTTATGGAGAAAGATTATTTTAGTGGAAGATTTTGTAAATAAATTGTGAAAGAGTTACATTCCTTGCCCCTTACACCATCTGAGACTCCAAGCTGATCTCCACTGAAGGCTTTCAGCACCTGAAAACTGACAGTAAATGCTAACCAGGAGACTTTCTCTCTTTCAGGATGATATCATCACTGTGATCAACCGAGTGGATGAGAACTGGGCAGAAGGCAAGTTAGGAGATAAAGTCGGCATCTTCCCAATCTTGTTTGTAGAGGTACGTGACTATCAAGTCTACATCTGATTCAAGCTTACTCAGAATTATACATGTGCTACAGTGAGTAATTCCTATTTGATATGAGGCTTATTTCAGAACTAACTAAAGTCTTGAAAGAAAAGATGCTAGATGATAATACCCATTTCTGTCAAGAGTGTGGGAAAATGGGCCTTTTCATTCTGCTGATAGGAGTACAAATTGGTGCCATCTCTCATTTCCAGACTCAAATTCCTATCAAGGATGTTGAAAATGTACATCTCCTTTGAGTCATTAATTCCACACCTGAGAGTTCATTATAAGGAAGTATTAAAACAAGTGTGCAAAGATATGTGTACAAAATATGCAAAAATGTTCATTGTAGCATTGTGCATAGTGGTGAAAAACCAGAAATAATCTAAAACTCAACAATAAGGATTTCATTTTTTTAAATTATGGTGATGGAAAAATATATACCCATTAAAAATAATGTTAAAGAATACTCAATATCATGGAGTATCTGGTATTATGGAAATATGTTTGTGATTTATTGTTAAGTAAAATAAAGCTTAATGAGTATAAAGTTTCAGATTTAGAAGATGAAGTTCTGGAGCTCTATTACAATGTGGATAAAATTAACACTACTGAACTGTATACTTAAAGATGGTTATTATAGTAAATTTTGTTATGTGTTTTTTACCACAATCAAAAAAAATTAACTGCTTGAAACTAGCTTTGTAAATACATATGTGTATATATAAATGGATAAAGGGCTAGAAGACTATGTACCAAGATATTAACAGTGGTGATCACCAGATGGTGAGATTCTAGATAATTTTCATGTTCTTCTGCTGACTTGTATTTTGTATATCTTCAGAAATGAGCACATATTACTTCTATTGTTTTTTTAAATCTACTTTGAAAAAAAAAGAAAGAACACATGCTAGGCTATCTACCTGTTTCTCCAGGATAGTAATATAACCTATAGCCCCTAACCTCTCTAGCCATCAGTCTCACCCCAGCTTGAAGCAGGTCATTACAAATTTAAAAAGAGAGGTTTCATCGTTTAACTGCGCTTATTGGGTGCTTACCAGGCATAAAGCATTAAAAGCGAACAGTGCTGAGCTATAAAAGAAGTAGAAGGCATGCTCCCTGCCCTCTAGGAGGGTGGGATGAAACAGAACAGAGGCAGAGTTGGAAAGAAGGGACCAGTTCTACCATTCGTAAGAGCCGAAGCAGGTTCTGAAGTGAATGGTGTGCCCAGAACACTGCCCAGCTGTCAAAGTTCCCTCACCCTCTCATCTCAATCTGTATGGAAGGAATGAAAGATGGAAGGGAGGGGAAGAGGAATGGTCCAGAGAGGCTGGTCTTCCTACTCTCTCCACTAAATGATCGTGCTTTTTCTCTTGTTGAAGCCCCTTCCAGGTACAGCCACCCAATTCTCTCTACGTGTTCAACTTCACTCATTTTATGAGGCTCAGCTAGAAATCTTCTTTTTCCATAAAATTCCAACAACTAGTTGAATATACTCAGTTGTCTCTTTCTTCTCAGAACACATGATGGGTGTGTGGCTTGTACTTCACAGGCTAGCCCAACACAGAGCACGTATTTCATAAAAAAAAAAAAAAATCAGCTTCACAAGTGAATGAATGAAAAAAATATTTGGGAGGTGGTCTGACTGACCAGGAAAAAAATTCAGAGAACATACCTTTCAACGTGACCCTGTCCTAAATATATATTCAATCATTCAACTTATTTTTCATTGAGTGCCTGCCATGTCAGTTCCTGTGCTAAGTTCCAGTGATACAAGACGGATATGAGTCCCTGCTTTCCAGGATTGTAGGGGCAGACATGAATAAATAATTATAAGTGTGATGAATGATGCAAAGAGTGAAGGAGAGGGAACTGCTGGGGGTGGGGGGGAGAGTATGATGTTCAACTTACCTGGGTAGGGTGTCGGCAAATGCCTTGTAAGCCAAGATCTGACAGATGATGAGGAGCAAGCACGGAGGGAAGAGTGCTTTAGGGAATGGAGGTAACATGTGCAAAAGTCCTGCAGGATGAGGAAGTGTGGTGCCTCCAAAGGACCAAAGACTACCAGAGCTGGAGCTTAGAGAGTAAGAGAGAGACAAAAAAAAAAAAAAAAAAAAAAAAAAAAAAAAAAAAAAAAGGAAGCCAGGGAAGCAAATGGGACACACACCAGGAGACTTTGTAAACCTTCCTGCATTAGTCAGGATGAGCTAGCTTATGCTATGGTAATAAACAGCCCCTGTATCTCAGTGGCTTCACAAAGAAAAAGTTATTTCGAATCCATATTACATGTTCAGCACAGAATGGTGAGAGGCTGTGCTCACACAGTCACTGAGGAACCCAGACTGATGAGGCTGGGCCATCTTGTAGCCATGCCATCTGGAACATATGGACTTCCTAGGTTTCGTGGCGGGGAAGAGTAAAGAAGAGTGAGCTGTGTATCAGCAAAGGCCTCAGCTCTGTGACATTTGTCACTCCCACTCATAGTCCATTGGCCTGAGGCAGTCACATAGTCCCACCTGGCTTGAAATCAGCTGAGAAGTATAGGGGACTACTTGGAGTATTTGCTGAGCATCCTCACCTCTGCTGTATCATAAGAAGTTTGGACTTGATCCAGAAGTCAGAAGACACCACTGAAAAATTTAAAGTAAGGCAGTGACTCCATCAGATTTGGGTTTCTTAAAGATTGCTCTGGATGCAGTGGGAAGAATCATTTGAGGAGGAGGGATTTTAAAAAAGCAGAAAGATCAATCAGGAGGCTACTACATGGCTCAGTTAGAAAATGATGGTAGCTTTGACTAGTACATCGGAAACAACTGGACAGATTCCAGGACCTTTTAGGAGGGAGATCCACGGGAGGGGGGGATAGGGGTGAGGAAGTGGTCAAGGATCACGCCCCATTTTCGGATTTGTGTGTCTAGGTCAGTGGTAGAGCCATTTGCTGGATCAAGCAACATATGCTGAAGACAAACAATTACGATGTTTGGGAGATAACCGTTAAGTCTCCAGGGACAGAGATGAGCTACAACTAATCCTAGTCGGATACATAGGAGGTGCTTAAATTTTTGCAGATTAGAGCTTGCATGGTCCCCTGTATTATTTCAAGAAGCTTCTTCATAGGTCTGGGGAAAAAAGGCATCACTGATTTCATTACCCACTTCTGATATCCTTTTTTTCCAAAACTTCTACATTTTTTTTTTTTTTTTATGGTACGCGGGCCTCTCACTGTTGTGGCCCCTCCCGCTGTGGAGCACAGGCTCCAGACGCGCAGGCTCAGCGGCCATGGCTCACGGGCCCAGCTGCTCTGAGGCATATGGGATCTTCCCGGACCGGGGCACGAACCCGTGTCCCCTGCATCGGCAGGCGGACTCTCGACCACTGCGCCACCAGGGAAGCCCCAAAACATCTACATTTAATGATTATTCATTTGGATACTCTCCCCACTACTCCACCTCTAAAATTAGTGATTACAAGAACCCTCACAGTCATCATCAAACTAGGGTCCTGTTCTCCTAATTGCTAGGAGGGGAAAAGATAATCAAGTGGTTGCTCTAATCTGGGAACCTGGTTTTCAAAAATTACTTGAAATCTAAATTGAGCTCTTTAAAGCAGTACTTAAAATTTGATTCCAGTCATTTCATTAAGACCAGCACTTGCTGAGAACCCTTTAAATAAGTTTTGAACTACCAGCGCCATGCAAAGCAATTGGAAGGAAGGAGAGATTTCTTCTGAGAGTGAGGTGGGCTTTTTGGCATAAACAGGATTTTTCTTGTTAATATATCGTTTGACTTATTGAATTGCATCTGGGTAAAAGGTGGTAAAACAAACGCGGAACTTATGCCCGTTCTTGTCAGGACTTCTCCAGCGGGGCCTGCCTGGGTTATATGAACCTCGCTCAGCCCAGTGGACCTCAAGGATACTGTTTCAAATGAGTGGGTGCAAATTGAAAAGCTCTGCAGTCCTTCCCTGGCTGAGCTATTAATCACACTGACAGAGGACAGGGAAGACCTAGAGTCACACGGGGCTCTTTGCCTGTGTTGCTGATGGAAACACTTACGGTATTGTTCACCTGGGGGCAGAACAATTAGGTGAAGGCAGAAAAAAATTAACTTATTTCATCGTGGCTATGAATGACCAGAAAGAACTTTACTCAGTCAACTCAGAGAGCATGTATTATCGTCTTACTGGGTGAACAATGGCGGGATGGGCGCTCGGGGGGGAACATGAGACATGGTCCAGGCTTCCAGCAGAAGCGCCCTAAATAATTTCAGTAATTTCCCAGTTGATCTCCCACCTTCCGGTCTGGCACTTCTGCATAGCAGCCAGAGTGAGCTTTTTATGTATTTATTTTTATTTACATACAGTAAAATTTGCTCTTTTTGGTGTCTCTGCATTCTGATAAACGCATACAGTATAACCACACTACCATCAAGATATAAAATAGTTCCAACACCTGCCAAAAAATACGAGGGCAGGCTGCCTCTTGGAAGTCCGCTCCTTCCCTGACTGTAACCCCTGGCACCCACTGATTTGTTTTCTGCTCCTGCAGTTTTCCTTTTCCAGAATGCCACAGAAATGGAATCATATAGAATGTAGCCTTTGGAGTCTGGCTCCCTTCACTTAGCATAATGCCTTTGAGGTTCATCCATGTTGTCGGGTGTATTGGCAGCTCGTGCCTTTTCTTTGTTGAGTCATACTCCACGATGCGGATGTGCCAGAGTCTGTCATCCATTCGCCAATTGAAAGACACTGTGATTATTTCCAATTGTCTGGCAGCTATCACTAAAGCAGCTATAAACATGTGCATACCAATTTTTGAGTAAGCCTGAGTTTTCATTTCTCTTGGGTAATTACCTGGGAGTGGGATTGCTGGGTCAGACGCTAAGTAGGAAACTGCCAAACTGTAGCATGAGCTTCTAAATAAAAGCATACATCAGATCATGTCACCCTTCCACCTAAATCCTGCCAAAGGCTTCCTGTTACAGTCAATAGACTCAGAACCTCCCAGTCGTATGCGATCCGGATCCTGCTTGCCTCCATGGTCTCCTCTTTACCACCTGTTCCTCACTCACTCTGGTCCATCCTTCTTTCTGGTTCTTTCGCATCTCCTTCTCAAACAGGCTGAGCTTTCTCCCTCTTCGGGATCTTTCCACTAGCTTGCAATCCCTCTCCTGGAATGTTCTCATGCCTATCTTCACATGGCTGGTTCCTTCTTGGCATCTGTGTCTCAGCTTGAATGTCACCTTCTCAGCAGGTCTTCCTTGACAGCCCCCCACCAATCTAAAGTAGCCGCCTCCCGCAGTCACCCTCTGACACATGAGAGCATTTATTACCACCTGGTCTTTTCTTGTTTGGTTGTTTACATGCTGGCTCTGCCATGTATGTCACTCCTTCAGCTCTCTTGTCTTTAAAGTGGGCATAATAATGCCCCTTCCCCTACTTGATGGTTTCTTTTCACAATATTACAAGCTTCTGGCAGCAGGAACTACATCTTTTTAAATATTTTCTGTCTCAACTATATTAATCATCTTAATCATCCTCACATTGTTATTAAAAAGTTCTTAAATGAAGAAAAAGTCCTTAAAGGAGCAAACTCCCTTTTACCTCTATAGATGAATCTCTAAATTAGAATGAGACACGTGCTTTTAGAGGGCAACTGGTGACAATCATCGTGATGGAAATATAAGTAACTGTCCTGGAAAGTTTATTCACATAATCCCCTTTGTCAGCATATTTCTGATTTCTGAAGGACGTGAACTCACAGGGCCCTTGGTGGACAGGGCACTCAAAATACAATAAAGTCAGTGGTGGTGCTATTGCTGGCTGGAGCTAGATGGCAAGGGCTGGGTGTTAGGTTTTCAGGAATCTTGCTAGCCAGTTGTTAAACCATTGGTAGATCTTTACACCACAGAGATTGGTAAACTCTACAGATTGGGGTGAGGGGGGTCATTTGTTTGTTTGTTTTGTTTGTTTTCCTGATGCACCAGCACACCACTGACGATAAGAGGTATAGAACAAGAGAGAATGGTGATGAGGTAAAAGTATTTGAAGAAAGTAGTAAAAGGTGGTCTTAGCCTTAGGTGATCCAGGGTCCTGAATGGATTTACATTCTGGTTAAACACTTATCAAACGTATGAACTTGAGCAACTTCATCCACTCATTATTGCACAGACACTCACTGAGCACCCACTCGGGGATACAGCAGAGAACACATGTATAAGGTCTCGGCCCTCAGGCAGCTAACAGTCCAGCGGAGGAAAGGAAGATAAATGATTACCGTGTGGAGTGGGAAAGCATGGGGGCTGCAGGAACACTGAGAAGGGCAAACAGCCAAGTCAAGGGTGGAGGGGAGGGATTCAGGGGTGGCTAGAGGAAGAGGGAAGGGTCCCCCAGGTAAAGGAGGCTGGGATGATGCTGAGAGAGACGGGAAAATCAGAGTAGAGTATCACGGCTTGTTTTAAATTCTTCAGACCTCAATAAGAGTCGTAGCTACGTTGCAGGAGAGTTGTGAGAATTAACTGATATAGTAAAGGAATTGAGATATATTGATAACAGATGGAAGCTGACCAAGGAATGACAACTGAGGCGGTGGCATCTGAGCCGACTTCAGACTAGCCTGGGTAAGACACAGCCGCTCACTCGAGATCAGGATGCCTAAATTCTCATCAGACGTTTTGCCTTTTCAGCCAAACCTCACTGCAAGACACCTCCTACAGAAGAACAAAGGCCGTCAGTCATCCCACACAAAAGGCATGTCCCTGGTGTCATCCTCCAGAGGCAAGGCGACCAACGCACCCACACTCCGAAGGGGCCCAGGGTCCAGGAGGAAGGGGCCCGGGCAGTTCTCCATCATGACAGCCTTGAACACCCTCAACAGGATGGTGCACTCTCCCTCGGGGCGCCATATGGTGGAGATCAGCACCCCAGTGCTCATCAGCTCCAGCAACCCCTCTGTGATCACTCAGCACATGGAGAAAGCGGATGCTCCTCCCAGCTCTGTGGGGCAGGTAGGGAACAAACCCCTGGGATAAGGGCACCTTGGAGTTGGGCAAGTGACCCACACCGTGTCACACGCAATATTGGATCTTTAGTACCTGCTAAGCCCCCATAATGCATTAATAACAACTAATGTCATTATGTGTCAGAACTGTCTATACATGATCTCATTTCATCCTTGAAACAGCCTGTGAGCTAGGTATTATTGCTGTTGTTACCCCCATTTACAGGTGAGAAAACTGAGGTTTAGAGGGGGGGGGTTTGCTTTCCCTTGCTAAGAGCCATGGCATGGTTCCTGTCCCTTAGAGAACTTCCCTCCAAGGAGATAATGACATCTGTTTTCTGGGATCACAGTCTAACATTCACTGTTCCATCCTCCAGTAATATATCAGGCATCATGTGGCAGGGAAGAAAAAGAAAGAAAAAGAAACTATGGGTTATTGGGTGTTTTCAGGACTAGCTATATACTTTGCAAGGCCCAGTGAAAAATGAAAATGCAGGTCAAAAATGATTAAGAATTTCAAGATGGCAACAGCAGAGCATCAGACCAAGTGAAGGGCCCTTCTGAGCACAGAGCCCTGTGTGACTACACATGTCACACACCCTTGAAGCCAGCCCTGGTGGTTTTCATATGGAGCATTTAATGAGATAATGTATGTAAAGTGCTTAGCACAATGCCTGGCACATACTGAGTACCCAATAAGCATTAGCTCTTAATACTATTGTTATGAATACAACTGCTGTTATTATTAAGCCTGGCCACTGAGTTGCCAACTGAAGGGAGATAAGCCAAGGGGCAGTCCTGGCAATCCAGAAGCAGAATTACTTCTAACAGCATGAGGCTATTTAGGTTGAAGGATGCTTTAAAAGATGAAGGACCAGAGGTACAAGGCAAAGTAATTAAGAATTGCATGTCAGGTATATTCTGCTATAAACACTCTTTGGAACCATGCAGGTGACAACTTGAAAAGACAAACCTCAACTTGCACTGATGTCATTTTTATTAAGCTGTAAATCTTGTTTTTAAACATGAATCTCTACCTTGGGATTAAATGACTTAATTGGACGCTAAGCCCTTTTTAACAAGACAAGGAGGAGGAGAAAGTCAAGGGTTCCTCAAAGACCTGTGTGCTGGTCTAAAAGGAAAACAATCACCTGCTACAGCACTTCAGACCTTATACCACTGTCTGCATCTCTAGGAGGCTGGCTGTTGACGTCATTCTGCCCGCCACTTGCACTACACACACACTCACACACAATTACACTCTCCCCTCCCTATACACTCTCCTTGCATTAAAAAACTGTGAAATTCCCTTCCCTTCCTACACACACACACTCCAAACACTTTTTTACAAGTACATACACACTTTGTGCCCCAAGTTCTACACCCCGTACACACACATACACACACATACATGCTCCAACATGGGAGCCTAGTGACTCACAGTTAAGCGAAAGACTAGCAGAATTTTTCTGAAACCATCCTTTCTAAATATATAGACATAGGTATACGAAGTACAGCCCACACTCAGTAGATCTAAGCTATAGCTCACTCAGCTATAAGTTGGCTTCCAAAGGATTTAACCAAGAGTCACTTTCCCTGTGCCTTTTTCATTCTTCTCCCTGGTCATTTACCTCATCAACAGAGAGGCTGGACCAAAGCAGAGAATCCTAGTAGGATTCAAAACAAGTAGTATTCCTTCCTAATGTTCACAAATGGTGAGAATTCCAAAGTGTGGCATTGGCATATCCTATCCCGAGGGAACCACTGCACAGTACTGATAGCCTTTTCTCAATTCACATGGTGGTGGATTATTAAGTATTTCTACATGTTTGCCCAGATGCTGTCAAAAACACACTCTTAAAATGCCCCACTTATGAGCTACTTCTAAAGATGAGTGGAAAGTTGAGCAAATGACAAGATCTCCTGCTTCCTTTTTCTCTAACATCCTTGAGAGCTGTGGTTGGGTCTAGCTTATCAAACTCCCCCTCCTTCCCCATCCCAGCACCTTTCATAGTACATAGTCCCTAGTAGGTGCTCAGTAAATCAAGGAATCAAGACATTTGGCTTAAACATCTGGGCAGATGGTGGTGACGTATACATAGACAGGGAAGACTGGAGGAGGAATTGTTTCCTATAGAAAGATCACAGGTAAGTGTAATACTTTCAACCAGTAGACATCTGTTGAGTGCTTACAATGTACTAATTACCAGACTGAGTCCTGGGGATTCTACTACCAAAACATCAAGAACAGCAATAATAATCTCAAACATTTATTGAAAGTAAAAGAATTGATAGGTAGAAAAGGAAGGAAGGAAGGAAGGAAGGAAGGGAGGGAGGGAGGGAGGGAGGAAAGGAGGGAGGAAGGAATTCTTTCTTTGTTGCCAGTGTCCTGAGTCCTGTGCTCCATCCTAAAATATGGTAAGAGCCTTTGTGAGGTACTCTCACCACTTTACAGTGACGTAATTAAGACCCCCAAAGAAAAATGGTTGGGCCACAGTTCCTATAATTAGTGAACAGTGAGAGTCTGTTTTGACCGTAGAATTGTGTGATTCTGGCCCATAAGCTCTTGTCACTATGCTTCGCCATTAACAGAGACGTCATCAGGCAACACCGCTACATCAATGTAGTTTATCTTGAATATCTGTAGCCTCCCTTTTCTTGCACATCTTCACTTGACTCCAAGGCCTTCCAGCATTCTCTTCCCTGCCCACCCCTCAGTAAAGAATTTTCCCTAAGTCTTCTGCACCTCAAGAAGGCTTTCATTTACTATCACTTTTTTCCTTTATGAACTACCGTGTCCAAGCATTGTGCATGGTACTGAAGGCACCAGGAGTAAGCTTTTGCCCCCAAGGAACTCACAGTCTAGCAGGGATACAGAAAATAAATGACTGACTGTGGTGGAGTTAGGGCTTCCTAAAATGAGATGAGCACCCTGATGGCACCCACACTGACTTAGGTGGTGAAGTTACTTGGAATTTTACAACACAGAACTGTTGACAGAGAAAGTTACTTCCTTTCCAACTTTCCAACTTTCCCCAAGCCTCTTGGTGATATCAGAAAGTCTTAGTTTGGTGCTAGTCTGTCTTTAACATCCTCTATCAGGTTTTGCTAATCTCCCTCTGTCAGGAAGAGAGAACAAGGCATCAGGCTCAGAGCTTCGGGCAAGCAATTGCCCATCTCTGAATTTCATAACACTGTTATGTTTTTATCATGTTGTCGGATGGTTATCCTCCATATCTTACAAGTGATACCAGTTCTTGTTCACAGAAGTCTATGAAAAATTTTTAATTCTTTATTAAAATGTTTAATCTTTTTTTTTAAAGAAGAGTGAGTTAACAAAGGTAAAGTGATATGTGGATATGGCAAAAACCATGAAGATGGGACGCAATGCAGTTTAGAAAGCACCGATCCAGAGTAAATCATGCATAATTAGAACGTGTAGGAAGTGCTACAGAAGCAGAGAAGAGGGCATTTGATAGCTTCAGTCCTGTTCCCTGAGAGAGGGATATTTGAATATTTGAACATTGGTCCTTCTGTGACTGACGTGTAAATAGTCCAGGAAATTTTTTTAGGGAAAAGGCTCTTTAAAGAATGTTCAGTCCCCACCAACTAAACGGAGGGGGCTTGGAGGAGCAAGGAGTAGGTTTTCTGAAAACACCTCTAAAGAAACAATGAAGAGGAGGATTATCCTTCACCTCTTAAACACCAAAGGGTAGCAGTTCCTATCTTCTCACAGAGAGAAGCTGAAGCAAGGAATTCTGTTTTCCTGTTGTTATTGGGTCCTCCCACCCTTGGGAAACCACCTGACACATCTGGCTGGAACGTCAGGAAGTGACCTTAAAGGTGAACTTTGGACTAAACACAATTGTGCTTGAAAATAATTCAGGATTAGACCTGAAGACTCTGAGTAGGTTCCGTGGGAAACTGCACTGGAGGAGGTTAAGAAGGGGGATTGGAACCAATGTAGTCGGCCTTTGGGGGAGTCCTGGAGATTATCTCTAGGTCTGCACTGAGGACGGCGATGCCTTCGAAGGCGAAGGAAAGTCAACTGCATGAGACACGAGTTAGAAAGAAGTCCGTCAGTAATGCCTCTTAAGGGAAGCCACAGTGCCAGGTCCACCCTGGAGATTCCAAAACTGACTTCTTCAGGATGTGGAGTCGGTTTGTCCCATCTCCCCACTCACAGCACCATGAGGTGCTCTTGTTTGCTGTAACTCTAGCCTTCCTAAGACATTCTGCTCCCCCAGTCTACGCACCCTCCCTGCCCAGGGAACTCAGCCTCTTCCTCCCTTCCCCCACTCGCCACTGCCAATCCCTCCAGCCCCCTCCTTCAGCCTGCCCCTTCCCCTGTATCACAGGCCCAGGTGAGTGCATCTGCAATGCAGCTATATAGAAAAAGCCTGTCATCATTCCAGAGTTCTCTCTT